TTTGGCTGCACTGGCAAAGGCTGGATGCTACCCTGCCGTCCCACTCTCCTGTCGCCGCATGGTGGTTGCTATGGTGACACTCCTGAGCTCGCAGCAAATGTGTGTCTGGCTCACTTGTCCCTTTGTAGGTCCCCCCCTCTCTTTCTCCTTTTTTTGGTGAGCATGTTCCTTTGTTTGCAGATCAAACACTTCAAGTCATTGCTCCGCATTAGGTGCCTGATTTGCAGTGCCCATAAACAGGGTTACGGATAACACAACTCATCCTACAGTGGCGTAATAATGGAAGTTGAATTAAAATTTCCCCTTTGAATGCACTTTCGTTAATGTTAAAAGGAAATAATCAGGAATGTCTGAGTACATGTAATTGGGTTCTGACATTTTCACTTATATTTCAAAAAAATACAGGCAAAGTTGACTTACAATAAAGGTGGCCCTGTATTATGCGATACTAACCCTAACCCCTAGGGTGTCTGTAATGATCATTTTAAAATTGGAGGATTTGGGACTGTTAGGCCTATGAAAAAGGCACGCTATATTTAGGCTACGACAGGAGGATAACATGAGTTGCTGTAGACTTGAGACTTTCTCTGTTAGGAGGGAAGATCACTGTTAACGATTTGCGAAACTTGACACCCTAAGGCTACTGACCCCTCCCCCATTGAGAGTCATTTCTCTGCAGTCTGCGCAATTCTCATAATGTACTCTCCGTACCAGGACTCCCCGCTTTCAAAACAGTCTTATTCCTTATTTTGTGAACTTATTAAATAAATAGATAGTTTTAGTCCCTTTCTAGTACTAACTTGCATGTATTGCTTCTTTTTTGGTCCATTTATACCTGCTTTTATGGTATCTTACCAAGGATGATAGTGGAAATTATAGGTGGTTGATTTGTGTTTCAAACCTAATTTCCAAATGTATTTTGTGTGTAATATTTTAAAACACAATTTTGCTAAATATATATATTTTTTTGATATGCAATGAAATTGTTAAATAATTGGTGTTTTAATTATTGAGATTTTATTGTGATTTGGCCATTGGCCATGAGAGAAAAAAATTAAACAAATCAACAAACCAAATAAAACATTATTTTATTTGACCATTTTCTCAGGCTCCGATCAACAGCACCTTTAACTGGGTTAAAGAGTCCATTCCACGCATTCAGAGACATCTCATAATTTTTCCTCCAAATGTGGTCCAGCTTTTAATGCAGATTGAAGAGCCAGTAACAGGGGAATCTTCTGTCCACCTAACACAATCCCAGTGAATGAATAATTGGAATCAGAATCTCGAGTCCGCTTGGTTTCCGTTTCTAAGACAACAGCTCTGAAGTTCCAATCAAGATGTCACTGACAGAATATAAATCTCTCTCAGCAGGAGGAGCAGGGGAGGTGTTGGGAGTCAACTTACAGTTTGTCTTATTTGTCTTCAATCCTCAATGGATGTGGAACAAGCGGGCCCAATACATGTAATTGCAGGTTCATCTAAAGTCTCAACTGGAAGTTCTAGATAAGAGCTATAAATGGGACAGCTTGGGAAAACATGGAAAACAAATCCCTGAGCGATTGTGTATATACTTAAAAGCCGTGAGCACATACCTGTGCATGTAGGCACATGTGAACGGACCAGTAAGCCAGTAAGTTGAGAGTGCACACGGTTTGTCCAAACATGGCCTTTTGGCAATCAAGCTGACCAGCGCCGATCAGTGTCTAGCTTCTGCCATTCACAGATGCTCTAGCGAATCAAAGTGTCTGATCCATACAAACATAAGGGGAGTCAGGTTGGTGCAGTGGCTCTTTCCTCGCCATCCACCCCTGCGACCCGGGTTCGAATCCCGCCTGGGTCAGCATGTGGATTGGGTTTTCAGTCCCTGAATGATTCTGTGGGTTTTCCCTGGAATATTCATATGTGGTTTTCCTCCCACCTCTAAATTGAGGTTGTTGTCTTCTTAATTGTCATTTCATCCCGTAATTGGCGCTAATTTTGGATGAACACAAATAAATAAATCATTCCATTTTCAATACTGTACATGGGTCACTCAGAACCTTTCATAATATTAATTTTAGGAAGAAAACAATTTTCCAACAACAGTGTTCAGTATTATCTTGAATTCTGCAGACCTTCCCAGAATTTGCATGCATTACACATTACCTTTTAGACCAAAACAGGTGCAAGTATAAACAATAGGGACCTCCACTACACAATTGGAATTAGCTGCTAATTTAGTTTCCAACAAGTAGACTCAGATCAGTGAAAAATACCACCATAAAACAACATTGTCTTGTAAACTTTGCCACAAAAAACACACATGTAAATGAAACAAAACGCTGACACAACAAACAGGTTCCTTACAAGTCTGCATCACCAATACCCGTTGCGGCCTCGATCAGCATTTGACCAAAGCCACTTTGGACCGGGAAAAGCAATATTGCCCAGGCAACCGCCGCTTGAACGACTAATCAGAAAAAGCTCTGGTACATCAACAACCGCTGGCACTAATTCTCTTCTCACAGCCTTGTTTATTTCCTATGTCTCTTCTGTTTTTTCACTCGGAGCAAATTCTTCATGGGTTACTGATTGGTGCACTGGCAACTGCAAAAACATCTGGGAGACTCTTTACAGGAATGGAACGGATGGCTTTTAGAAATGCTTCACGAGGTACAGCTTGACAGGGCGCAGGTAAATTAAGTGACTTGTTTCACAGGACTACACCGCAACCGTACCTTTCAGAATTTTGAGGCAATATGACTGCATGCACTTGTGCCAAAGATAACATATCCTTTGCTTCTTGTAATCAAAAGCTGTATTCTCAGGAATATTGTCGCTGCACTTTTATGCTATTCATATTTTTTACATTTTTCTAAAATATCCTGCAGCCTCAAAGGGATGCAATTTTTGCTTGATTTTACCAATATATAATTACCATTCCTACATGTATATATGCAAAGTCTGTATGGAATTTCTATTTAAATCCCAAACACTGATGCAGGATAAATTCTAGTTAACTTGTAACATTACCAGCTACTTTCTGTCCTTGCACAAGCCCACGGTCTAGCAGATTTTCCACTTCAATGTTAACAAGGTCCATGATTTCTCCGTGTAAAGAGCTAAAAATTGTATTTACAAAGGCCGCGAGACTCAACAATATCCAGAGCATGTGTGCTTTGCATGAAGAAGATCAGTTGCTGAGCTGATCTTTCAACATGCCAAAGCCAAATGTCTGTCCAATCAAAATGAAGCAAAAACCTCCTCAGCTAACCAAGTCTGTGAAAATTTGCTTCAGGTCCAACATTCCACTCAATGCCCTCAACAAGTTATAGGAGCTTGCTGGTTTTGAGTACATTTGAATTTGTGGTATGAACTCAATGTCTCAGAGGAGATATAACAAATGCCTTGACTACACAAGCACTGTTTTAAGCTGATTGGTTTCTGAAGAAAATAATAAAATGGCAAAATGTGATCTTCCCTGACACTGAAGATTCACTGGACAACAATTATGCCAATCTTTTTTCCATCCTCAAAGGATCAACGACTGGCCGCAAGTTTTCCTTGATACAAAAAAACGTAGCCCAATGGAACACACTTCTGGTAGAGGCTCCCAAGTTTAACTCAGTCCTCAAATCTCAAAGAGCACTATTCTCTCACACTGAAGAAAAGGGTTCTCCATGAGCAGCTACAAGTGACTATTACATCCATGCCCACTTTGGGACATTCTACTCACGAATCTGAACTCTATCTATTGAAATAGACACTTTTAAACTGAATCATGCCTGATCTTTAAAAAAAAAAAGGCGTAAGTCCAACCATTTTGCATACTAAACGTTCCTCATCAACAGCAGCCAAACAGTTTCAAACGTGGGGCAAGCCCCAGCCATTCGACTGAAAAGAATATAATTACAAAGTTGCAATGTGCCTCCAAGTGCTGACAGGCCTATAAAGTGAGGGACAGGCAAAATAACTGCCTTTACTATTGTGGGGGAGACAATCCCCCCCCCACCCAGGCGCCGGCGTTCCTCATTCAAAGAATTATGATTTACATGACACTTAAGGTATAAGTACAGAATCCAATTTTATAGTGCTACATAACAGTCAGTTTTTTTACTGACGGACCCTCTACATACGTGTATGTGACCCACTCTGCAAAAAAGGGTATTAAGTTGCACAGTGCCAAAACACGTAATGGCCTGTTCTATTTGGAGAGGGCAAAATTTCTTCAAAATTGCGATTTTCTGATTTTCCTTTAACAGCTTCTACAATATTTACATTTTCAGCATTTGTGACTACAAACATGGATACTGACGAATAAAGATGAAAAATTGATCAATCAGTAAGAAATCCTACATAGCATTGTGTTTCCAAGTTCTACACTTCATGAGCTTTTTCTCAAAAAGTGCTTTTATTGATTCCAAAAATGTGGATACATAAATATCTATATATCTCCGGAACGCAGCACACTACAGGGGTCCTTTATATATCAAATTGTAGCTTTTGATGTACAGAATCCAGCCAAATCAAATCTGGCAACTTATCCACTTTTCTAGAGTCGGTTACATACGCCATGGAGCCCATTAAGCAATAAGCACACTATAAGCACTCTTAACGCTAAAAGAAAAAAAACAGCACATCCATGCTACGGGACAACAGCATGGCTTTCTGCTACTGTAAGCATAACTTTTCTGAAAACTGTGAAGTAGCAGTAGGAGATTTTTCTAGCTTTATTTTGCAAACTTAACATTTTTTATAACGAACAAAAAAATTTAATTCACATACAACTTTGCAGTTAATTTTTAAACTCCCAAAACAGCCTTAACCATAAGATAAAGGATCAATAAAAAATACCAAAAGCCATGTAAATAGAATCCCATTACAAACAGGTGAGAAGATTTTCAAAAGGCCGATGAAATTTTTCAACTTGGTTAACCTTAACACAGAGTGTTTGATGAAACCAGTGACGTGTGGTTAATTTGAGGCCACTAACAAAAGCAAGCAGAAAAGTGCCTTACCTTGACACCAATGCCATCTTCATCATCTGAAGCAAAGCCCTGGTCTACGAAGTGACGAGCTCACATACACATAGAAACACGATTCACATCAAATGACCACACCACAGCCAATCACAGGGGAGCTGAGGAGGAGAGGGGTGAAGCCCCACGCCACCCAGTGCAGAGACATATGCATATTCCATGTGCTAAATGCAGTTATACTATATGCAACTCAAAAAAAAAAAACACTGATGCAACAGAAAACTGGTATGGTAGGTGCCGAAGAAGGAAAGGGATAAAAAAAAAAAATTAACGACTCTTGACGGGTGAATGAACAAATGCCACACCAAACACAGAGAGTATTTTGAACTTTGAATTCCCTAAACAGGATATATACAGTACATAACCTTCTGAAATGACAAAATATACAATGGGAGTCACATTGAAAATAATAAGCAGTGAACAGCAATAATGATATTGTCATCGTTGCCATGAACTGAAATGTACGCTTGTAATGTAAACACTTGAAAAACAGCTCAGCAAATAAATCTAAATTTTACAGTTATGTGGGTGTGAGCCAAACTCCCACTCACTGAGATGTAAGGAGGCAATTGCACTTATCACAAAATGACATACAAACATGCGGAAGGTATGCATACCTTTGGGAGAAAAATGCTTACAAGAGTTTTACATTAAATTTACTCAATCCATACTCACATGCTTGTGAGTTGTAGAAAGAAATCCAACTAAATGCCTTTTAATTAACATGCAAAGTTAAAAAAAGTTTTGCTTTGTGAACATAAAAAAGATTGAGTATTAGGTAGAAATAAATGTAGTGCTAATGTAGCATTTGTGAAAGCCCAAATTATGCGCGACCGTAAATTTGGTGCGAGAGGAGCGTACTCAGTTCCCATTATCAAGTGTCAGTTCATGGTGTCAGAGACAATATGTACACCGACGTGCTTACAAAGATACAGACATGAATGACATCATCTTCAAAAGATCGAACACCATTTTTTTCACAGGCAGAACATACACAGAAAAGCATAACTCGGCAGTATATACAGTGTCTCACCTTGCTGGGTTCTTCTTCTCATGGTTGGGGCACGGCTTGGCTGCCACCAGCTGACCGAAGGGGAAGTGGGGGTGCACCCCGACCGCCGTGGGGCTGCGCTGGGTGGGTGGGCTGGGGCTGATGTCCCGCGGCGTGCTCCAGGGGCTTGTCAGCTGCGACCGGATAGGGCTGCTGGGCACACGGGAACTGGACCGGCTGGAGTTGAAGGCACTGGCCCGAGGGGAGGGGTCTCCAGAGCGGCCGGAATGTTTGATATGTGCACCTGTTCAGATCAAAGAGGCTTTATTTTTTCACATTTTTGTTAATAGTTCTAAGTGTTCACATTTGGATCCACTTAATTTGACACCAACCACTCTTTTATACAATATTTGCCTCTCGATGTATACCTTCACCCGCATCACAAGTGCGGTTTTCATAATGGCCACAACTACTAAACCAAAAGAATCCTTCCCCAAGTGTTTGAAGAACCTGGTGTAATTTTAAACACTTATACTTCTGCAATTAATGCTTCCAATGTTAACACTGAGAAAGCAAAATGAGCTTTTTGAAGAAGCATATTGTTGCTATTTGACCAAGGGTGAATTTTTTTTGGCAAACATTGTTTGCCCATGCAAAATGGCGGTCCATGCCTGTGAACAAAAGAAATCTCTACTGGTCTCTCCACCTCAAATTAAAAAGGACAAAGAACTAAATCGCATTGGTTTATCCTGTCAATTATGCATATAGCTTAAGTTGACACCTGTGTCCACTATGTACAATATAGTGGTCTTTCAATAACGGCCTCTCGAGTCCAAGTAAAAATTTGAGGGCAAAGGATTGAAATTGGAAATCTTGGATCTTATTAATCCTAAATTAAGCTTAATTGACAAGGGTCTCTATTATGGCCTTCAAATGAAACTGACCCTTTTTAATATCACTTTAAAAATAGCTTACTGCAATTAATGCAATCATTACATCAGACCCTCCATGTACAAAAATGGCAAGTGCTTTGAACAGGCTGCCACCAGCCATTACAAGTCCCTGCAGGTCCCCGAGTCATCCGGTCTCAAGCCAGTCAGTTGGTATTCAAATTAACTGTGACAAAGGCTTTCCTGTGTCATTGTTCACTCAATTACTTGCCACTGATCTGGCGATGTGACTGCACTTGTGAAAGGACTTGTGATGGACTCCACTAAAGCACTGACAGTAAGTTCACTGCATGGGGACGCAATGCATGCAGCGGTCGAAGTGTCGCGAATAATGCTGCACTAGCTGCAGAAAAAAATTTACTGCTACAACGTCCGATCCGACTAACAAGGGCTGTCAAAGCAAATTGCTCCAAGTATGCTGGTGATATATTATTGCATAGTGTGACATGGTTTCAAGCTCATAAGTGAGGCTCAAATTGATATGTGTTGAAATTAATGCTTTTCCCTTGCATAAAACAAATTTCACGGCCACATATTTGGGCAGTCTAGCCTTTCAAAAGGGATCTTTTCCAACAGGAAAATGACTGGGGAAAAGGAGAAAAAAATGGACCCTGACAATTCAAATCATGCAAGCCAGCTTCATGACAGAAGTCAGCTTCACTTAACTCCCTTTTTTTCCTTCTTTTGTGTCCATGCCCCCCCCCACGATCCATTATACATGCATAATTCATGTGCCTATTATGACATATTGTCAGTGGGCTTCAAACATGGCATTTTGCTTCAAAAGCCCTGTTTGCTAACAGCAGTGGGAAGTCGGGTCAGATAGCTACAGAAATTCGGAGCAAGCTGTGGTAACTTTTAAGTGGCACCAAAACACGTTGGACACAGTACAGGTCTGGGGTACCTACTACTCTTGATGTGTTTGTATCGACGTGCGTACGTACCGCACAGTTATTACAAAACTTTCCCAATATGGATAGTCAACAATGAGGGGAAATGTTAGAAAAAAATTCAAAATTACAAAAGTGTGATTTGTGCATCTTTCACTGGCACACATGTATCTCACGAAAGCTACTTTTTTTAGTACAACTTACAACCCTAATAACACGCAAACATAAAACAAAACATAACTCAAACAAATCACAATAGTAAAACATGGAAAAGGAGGAAATAATATCCTTTTTTCAGGAAGCAATAGACATATATTGCAAAGAACTGGAAGCTGTGAGATAAATCTCTTGTGCCAAAAAGAGGCCATTATCATTGAAGTTAAAGTCCGTAAGTCTCTGTAAAAGGCAGAATGGACCAACAGCACAGTTACACTGTGTTCATGGACATCACGTGTGTACAGAATCTGTCATTACTGACAGGAAATGCCAACAGACCTTGAAATATTTGATATTCTGATTACAATCTGAGGGATAAAAGACGAATGCAATCAGCAAGACAGAACAAAACAGGGAATTTCTACTGGGAGCTGAAGGCTTTATTTACTCAAATTTCAGTCTGTTCATCAAAACTGATTGTCATACTGTCGACAGCGATGTGTATGACATTGACCAGCCAAACAATGAATAAGAGGCAGCCAGTTGTGTCTTCACATCCGTGTCATGATGAAACCTATCTGGTGAATGTACATCAAGTACATTCTTTCAGAGCTTCATCCAAAGTCTCGCATGCTTGTTCATCCTGAACCCATCAGGTGATGATGAGTGAAAAACCAAATCATATTAAAACTGGAAGACTGGCGACTGTCCGTGGGTTTCATATCATCGAACGGCGCGGGTCTGAGGGACGGCTGAGGAGAGGGAATAAAATAACACACTGTAACAACACAAGGTGTGTTCCCCTGGGGGAGGGGGGCCAGGGGAGGAACTGCATGCATGATTAGAGAACAAGTTCCTGAGCTAATGTGCAGTTGCACTGCGTCTACATGTCCACTTGTTATCCATTTGACAAGGTATCTTACAATAAGTCTATCAGAAATACAGTTACACTAGAGGTTTCATGTTTGTTTCTGCTGTAAAGGCAAGGTGATTCTGCACTGCTATCTTCAAACAGCATACTGTTCAATTCCATTACGGATAAAGTGTCAATCTGCAGCATTATTGAAATCATCACTTTATCAGGGTTACCAGTTAACATTTGATTAAATGCAGCTTTTCGGAGATTACTGATTCGCTTTCAATTAATTTTGCAAGTAACTGTCAGCTTCATGATCTGCAACCGATCTGCCATTAGTGAAATCAAGTGTCCAAAATGTGCAAGACTATGAAGTTAAGTATGCATTTTTTTCTGATCCTTTCTGATACCTATGTCAAAACAAATCTGAAAATCCTAAAAATAGGAAAAATATCATGCCTGCCAAGTGACACCAAAGGTCACCCCACCTTCTGGGTTTTGGGGCATTAATCTGTTGTCTGAATCTGTTCACACAAAGCTGATCAGGCGTATCTTTTGGGAAGAGATGCGTGGCGCTAATAACTAACTAGGACACTGCTAACTGGCATATCTCTTTGCAAAGCAAAATTAAGAAAACAATGAAATGTCTCCGACTTTAGAAGGGCAGCCAATCAAAAGCCATCAGCCCAGTGCAATCATTTCTAGAAAAAAATCAATCCCATATCCAATGTTTATTGTGGGAAACCCACCTGTTCAGCAGCTCAGCACTATTACGCTCTATGCTTTGTATTAAATAAGGACAGATCTTCTAGCATTCATCTAACTATCCCAAATACCAAAGATTGCAATCACCAATTTGCTCCATTTTGTTAATCTGACATGCACATGTGTTTCAACAGTTTATAATTAAAAATATGCCTGAAAGTTGAAGTTTGTATGTGTTTAAACAAGAATTATCCGTCACATCATACACAACATTCATAACGGCAAAAGATCACATGACATCAATAACTGCACCAAAGAAAAAAAGATCATATCAAGTACGGCAAGAGTGAAGAAAACTGTATGACGACTACATACATGGTTCGTGAAGAGATTTTCCACGGTGTTGGCCACTGTTCTGCAAGTAACGGAAGTGGTGCATTTTTTATCGCTCCTGCAGGTTTCTCTGCGACAGTCCCAGGTCTGCTTCCAGGAGCTTTGCTCGACGAGAACTGCGTATTTGCCACAGCAGACAGCTTCAAGTTGTGGCTATTATCGGGGGCCTCGGAGGTCCTTGTGCAGGGGAGCTTAAACTAGCAAGGCGAGATGACCTTCCGATGCTCCCTTTACCTCGCAGCCTTGAAAGATCCAGAGATAGGGTACTGCCAGTTTTTCAAACACTGAAAGGCTAAACGGCAGCTGGGAATGGTTAGATCCGAGGTTTTTTCCCTCCCAGTGGATGTTGAAGACGCTTGAGAGAGCAATTATTGTACTCCTTTTGAGAGGAATTCAATTTGTTCGATAATGGCCCCGGAGCAGCCGAGCTCAAGACAATAGAGGGCAAAAGGGAGGAGGAATTGAGTGAGTCCAGGTTTGTTTGTAAGCATCCGAGGATTACACACGTACGTTAGAACCCAAAATACAATATGATATCACCGGAACGGAGAAGAGAACTGACTGTTGCCAGATGGAATGCCAACATCTGGGCGAGTTATGTGCAGCAATGACGGGAAAAAAGGAAGGCGGCATTGGACAGTGTGCGTCAATAAATTATGAATTCCACTTTGAGAAACAAGAGAAAGAAAAGCTAATTGCCCTGGTCTGGCCTTGATAGATTGAGGCAAAGGTGATGATTTTCTTATGTGTGCTTTTACTGCAGTATGGCTGCAGGTAACGATGATGAAGGCAGGGAGTTCTGATGAATAATGCTCAATATTGATTTCCTAGTAAGTGACACACTAGAAAGGCCAACAGATTAGCTGGAGTGACTGCTGTATACAAGGACTTTTGTATATGAGGTGAGATGTGCTGATTAGTGAATTTGGTTTATAATGTCTCTATTTTCCATCGGGATGAGACTTTAATGGTGTTTAAATGGAGTGCCTGGTTATTTGGGGATTTATGAAAACGGTTTCAGGGCACAACAAAAAATGGGACCAAGCATAAACTTTGTGGCTACTTGTTACTGCCCCAACTCTCTGA